CTCTCTCTCTCTCTCTCTCTCTCTCTCTCTCTCTCTCTCTCTCTCTCTCGGATTTTCAAAACACAATTTCTCTGTGTAGCTTTGGTTCCTATCCTGAAACTTGCTCTGTAGACCAGGCTGGACTCGAACTCACAAAGATCTACCAATCTCTGCCTCCCGAGGGATGGGATTAAAGGCATGTGCCACCACCGCTCAGCCAACCTTAAGCATTTCTGACAAATGATATCTAACCTAATATACACAACCCCTTCAATATTTGCCTAAAGCCAGGGCCAGTGAAGTGACTTAACGGGTAAAGGCACTTGTGCCTGAGTCTGATGACCTGAGTTTGATCCCTGAGACCCATATAATGAAAGGACAGAACCAACTTTCACAAGCTGTCCTCTGACTTCCACATGTGCCCTGTGCCATGTGCATACTGTGGCAAGCAAGCAGTCAGGCATATACACGCATGCACACACATGCACATACACACACACACAAATATAATGACTTTTTTTAAGAAAAGAAATTCCCTAAAGTCTATGCAAGTGATGAAGTCCTACAGCGTAGAAAAAAGACATAAATTACTGTTGATTAGTAGAGGGAGAAAGGGATAAAGAAATGAGGAAATCCAGGTAAACAATGTTCTATACTGTGACACAGCATAAGAAAAACAGATAAGTGAGTTTTAAACAAGAGGTAAAGTATCTGAGGACTTCCTATCTAGTGGGACTTTGAAGTTAACATTTTATGTTTAAAAGTATCAAAAGGGCCGGGTGATGGTGGCACACGCCTTAGTCCTAGCACTCAGGAGACAGAGGCAGGTGGATCTCTGTGAATTTGAGACCAGCCTGGTCTACAAGAGCTAGTTCCAGGACAGGCTCCAAAGTTCCAGAGGAACCCAGTCTTGGGGGGGGGGGGGGGGAATCATCTAAAGGTTGGGAAGGATGGGGAAGCATATAGAATCAAGATACAATGTATATGTATGAAATGTCATCATGAAACAGACTATTTGTATGTAACTTTTTATAAAGTAGCTAGAAATATATCACGTAAAAAGTCTAGGCACAGCAGTGGAATGTGTGCCTGTAATCCTAGTACTGGAGAAGCAAGGGACTAGAGGACCACTGGGACTGGCTGTGCAGCCAGACTAGCTAAACTAAACAGCCCCAGGCTCAGTGAGAGACACTACCTCAAAAATCAGCTAGAGAGGGACTGAGGAAAAAAACTGATATCAACTTGTGGCCTCCACATACATACATATACACACGTGCATATAACACATACACAAGCACACACATAACACACAAAGTATCATTACTCTTAAGCAAACTGAGGTATATATTATATATTTGGCAAATGTCTATTACATTGAAACAATAATTTAAAATACTGGAATGTTTTCTATTAAATTCTGAAATCTGGTTCTGCAAAAGCTAAACTAGGTTAAGTTTTTGTTTTCTTTTAATTATGATTCTCTCCAAAAGTTTACGGTTTAAAAAAGAAAGAAAACCAAAATAACAAAGCTTTCTAACGATTCCGATCCAACCTCCAAGCTCATCTCCTTTCTACAATGTACTCTCTAGAGTAAGGAATCAACTTATCTCCTCAATACAGCATGAAATAAAGACCTTTGGAGAGGTAGTGTTAATCAAGACCTCTTAGAAACATAAGAAAGGAGTTAGTTGTTTTCCCAAGGCATTTCTGGACCAAAGGGATTTAGTTATTTAAGACTAAGACTAACAGTGGTAACTAAAAACAAAAAGAACTACCTTTCAAACTGCCTTCCTTCAAAACATGAAGTGGATATATATTAATATCCACAACCCTGGCAAAGAGTATTGCCAAAAACAATTTTAAAACCCTAATATTCACCAACAGTAAATCGTGAAATACTTTTACAATTGAACACCAACCAGCAAACCAACTAGAAGCAATCAGTATAATTTTTTTCCTTTTTTCCTTTTTTTTTTTAGTTTTAGAGTTTTGAGACTGTTTAGCCCTGGCCGTCCTGGAACTCGCTTTGTAGACCAGGCTGGCCTCAAACTCACAGAGATCCACCTGCCTCTGCCTCCCAAGTGCTGGGATTAAAGGCATGTACCACCACTGTCCAACAAGGATAATTTTTTTAAGTGTTGAGTTAAAGTAGCTGTAGAATACCTGTTCCAACTCTATAAAGTTCTGTAACAAGACAGACTATAAGGTGTGTGTTCACATAAGATGATGATTGAACTATTAGGAAAAGCAAGGAAATGGCTAACACTGCCAATCTGGGGAGCGAAGAGCCTGTGACCCGTGAGGGAATTAATAACACCTGTTCTAGTGGCCTCTACTTGTGGAGGACTTTAAAATCGAATTATTTTCAAACAAACTAGGCAGAAGGCAGATAACAGAACCCAGAGACTTTCTGTGCCTCTTTATATTCTGTGCTACAACAGTGATTTTTCTTTTGGAAAACAAGTAAAACATATTTTTGAAAGTTTTATTAAGTAATATCAAGGTTTAGGGTTTGAAAGGAATATTGATGTAGTATTTATCTTATCTCTTTCTCGATAATTAAGATCGAAGGATTTAATGCATTGCTCAATTAAAAAACAATTATGTTTTGTTCTTGAAGCAGAGTCAAATGTGATAACTGCCCTTCATACTAACAAATAACCTATTCTACTTTGAAATTACTGTGGTTTAATTTCCTGAAGTGAACAAAATGTACTCGAAATCCTGAAAACTAGTAGAATAAGTTTAAATCAACGAATATCATGGGACACGCAAAGCTGCAGGGAGGGGCTCGATAAGAACACTGTCACTTGTGCAAACTTTCGTAGTCTAAATCCTTGACTGAAGGTTATATACAAACACATATATAATTATGTACATGTACTTCGGCATTTTTAGGTATCAAGTGCACTAAAGCCACCTATTTGAGACTTAAATAACTTTTCCAACAAAAGCCAGCCTATCCTGCCTTTCCTCTATGCAAAACTCTAAAAGATTATGAGATTTTCATGCAAAATTTCAATCTCCGCCTTCACCTGCCTCCCAGTCTCTAAAGAAGAGACTGAGGGGACAAGGGGTCGGGAAAAGACAGGTTGAGCTTCCAAGAGCCTCAGCTTGACTCCACTGTCTCTAAGCAAAACAGTCTCCCAACACCCAGCCGAGGCAGGAAGCGAAGCGGTCACCATAGGAACTGGGCTCGATCCTTAACTCCCCAGAAACTAGAGTAAGGTTTGCTCCTGGAAGCTGTCGCCCCCGCACGGCCGGCGACCCGCGACACAGTCGCTCAAGCAGCGATACCCACCCCGGGCCACCGTCAGACCCCAACACCTCTCCCCACCCTCTTGCAGCCGCCCCGGAGTGGCTCTCTAGCCCGGTGCACCTCCTCGGCTTCTACCTGGAGCTCTGGAGCCCTCCCCCGGCCTCCCGGGCCGCCGTGCTCCCCGGAGCTCATCCCGGCTACTGAAGGGCCTCCCGCCCTGCGGGAGGTCCAAGCCGGCCCCGGCCTCCATCCTCCGCCCCTGACTCCTCCTTCCCACCCCGTGGGTCCCGCCCCGACGGAGGCGGAGACCCGGCCGGGCGCTGCGGGAAGAGGGCGGGAGCGGTTAGCTCCGGGCTGGCCGACGCCCCGCCCTCACGCTCTGTACCTGAGGGGGGCCCTCCTTCCACCTCCCCGGCGCCTTCGCTCCGCTTCCGTCCGGCGCGCCCCCAGCCCCCGTGCGCACGCGTACCTGGCTCGACACGCCCTCTCGCGTGGACTACAAATCGTGCGCGCACCCGAGCACGTAGCGACGTGGACGGCCGCCGGCCCGCCTTTCTAGGGCTCCGACCAGAGGCCTTGTCCTGGCCCATCCGCGCCGCGCAGGCGCAAGCCCACGCAGCGCCTAGATGGCCGACCCGTGCGTCCCGTCTCCTAGTAACCATCCTCTAGCCCGCGCCTTTGCGGAAGCTGCCAGAACGCGCATGCGCGGTGGTCGTGCCCCTTTGGCGCTAGAATACCTGTTGCTTCCGCCAGGCTTACAGCGTGTCGCTGGAGCACAAGGCGTTCCCCGCTGAGCGAAACGGTTACTCCCTAGAGCTGCTCCGCTGCGCAGCTCCTGACACCGTCAGGAAGCTGTTCTGTGGGAGTCTGCAGGTGGGGTGCCCTGTTGCAGCCTCCCTGAGGGAGCTGGTCTGTCTTGGTGAGCGTGGCAGCTGAGGACCACCCCTCGACCTGGGTCAGGTTTGCCCATCCAGGCAGGATGGAAGTGCCAGACCCCGCAATAAACGCTCACTTTCCAGACTGGCATTTCTTCTCCACATGCCAGCCCTCCTCCAAGTTCCCTCTCTAGGAAGACTGGCGATGGAAAAACAGAAAAGATAGAAAGCCTCGCGAGATGTTAAATTCTGTATCCAGGTTTTTTTCCCCAAGTTTGGCTTCTATCAGGGAGCCGACTTCTGCCCTCTTTCAGCTTAACTGGCGTGGTAATTTTAACTATCCAGCTGCGTTAAAATTGTTCCTGAAATGAAAAAGTGGAAAGAAATGAGCGCTGGCCTATGCTGCCAATTTTTAAAGTTTAGCTTGAAAAGATATTTTCCCTCAATTCTTCTGGGCCCTTCACCTGTTCTATCCAGCTTACTCTGAAGCTTACTTTATTCCGTTCTTGCTTATTTTTATTAGAATGCAAAGTAAATGGGTTGCATTGCGGCATTTGCATTCATAATTTGTTTCTGTTGATTCTTCTGCCCTTTTTCTCCTCATCTCCCCACTTTTGCCTTTCTACTCCTCCCCCATCTGTTTTCATGTGACAAGTATTGTTCTTTTTTAAAAATAATGTGATGTTGGGATGGCCAGGGGAGTCAGGGTCCCCGGGCTAGCGGCAGAGTCAGGCAGCTGGATGCGGTGGACGGCAGAGTAAATGGACATAAGGCTATACATAAAGCTAGACATTTATTACTTAAAGAAAGGGATACATAGACAAACATAGAGAGAACAAAGACACACACACACCACGCACACACACGAGAGAAAAAGATGGAGGCGGGGGGAGGTGGGGTCAGAAGTGGCTGGGGTGGGCATGGTTAGTTCTTAAAGTGTCTCAATGAAATAACACGTGTTCTCTTACTCCCTAAGCCTCTTTTTTGTCCCTCACTTTGATCTGTACCCACACTCAACATCCTTCAATACCCCCAACTTATGTAATTTTTTAAGATTTATTTATTTATTATATATAGTGTTCTGCCTGCATTGTGCCTGCAGGCCAGAAGAGGGCACTAGACCTCATTGTGGACAGTTGTGAGCCACCATATGTGGTTGGTGGGAATTGAACTCACAACCTCTGGAAGTCAGTGCTCTTAACCGCTGAGCCATCTTGCAAGCCCCCTACTTATATATTTAAAGATAAACTCTGCATACAAGAGAGAACATGTAGTATTTGACTTAGCGAGTCTGAGTTATCTCATTTAAGATCATTTCCAAATCCATCTATTTTCCTGCAAATTTCTTGACTTCATTTTTCTTTATAGTTAAGTGAAATGCAACTGTATATGTATAGTGTTTGTTATTGATTTATCTCTTTGGGACATCTAGGCTATATCCATTTACTGGCTATTGTGAATAAAGCAGCAATAAACATGGATGTGCAGGTGTCCCTGTGGAAGGACATGGAGACCTTTGGGCATATGCTGGAAGCTGTATAGCTGAGTCCTAAGGTTCTATTTTCAGGTTTTTGAGACATCTTCACACTGACTTCCAAGGTGTCCATATCAGCTTGTATTCCCACCAACACTGTTTAAAGATCCCCTTCTCCACATTCTTGCCAGCATTTATTTGTTTTTCTTGATAATGACTGTTCTGATTGGGGTGAGATAGAATGTCAACGTAGTTTTAATTTGCATTTCTCTGATGCTGTTGAACACTTTTTAAAACATTTGTTGGTCATGTATGTTTCTTCTTTTGAGAATGTCCCATTTCATTAGCCTGTTTATTGATTGACAGTTTTATCTTTGGGGGGTTTAATTTTTTCAGGTCTTTGTAAAGTTTAGCTTTAATTTTTTTAAATTATGTGTACTGATGTTTTGTCTGCATGTATGTCTGTGTACCACATATGTGCCTGACGCCCACAGAGGCTAGAAGAGGGAATTGGATTCCTTGGAACTGGAGTTACAGGTTGTTGCGAACCACCACGTGGGTGCTGGGAATTGAATAAAGAGTTCTCTGGAGGAGCAGCTATTGCTCCTTACCACTGAGCCATCTGTCCAGGCTTTTTTGTTGTTGTTGTTTTGTTTTTGTTTTTTCGAGACAGAGTTTCTCTGTAGCTTTAGAGCCTGTCCTGGAACTAGCTCTTGTAGACCAGGCTGGCCTCGAACTCACAGAGATCCACCTGCCTCTGCTTCCCGAGTGCTGGGATTAAAGGTATGCACCACCACTGCCCGGCCTCCAGGCTTTAATTTTAGCTTTTAGCCTCCTGTCTGAAGTACAACTAGCAAAGATCACACACACACACACACACACACACACACACACACACACACACTATGTGAACAAGCTGCTAATTTCCTTCCTTTACTGTTCAGAAGCTTTTTAAACTCACATACTGAATTTGAGGATGTCTGTTATCCCGTATTCCTGTCTTTTCCTACAAGATTTTTGCAGCTGTCTTCTCATGCTACAGTTTAAACTGTGCATTCGGAAAGCAAGATCGTGTTTGAGGAGCCATAAAAATTCTTGTTTCTCCTGCATGAGCACTCACGTTTCTATGAAGTATCACAAGCAAGCAAATGTGCTATTTTTTTTTCAGAGAAATACACTTAAATATAACTGTCTTGTTCTTCAGGATCCATATTTTTTTCATGAGGTATTTTTATCTTTATACCCTTTATTTTCATAAATTATAATCTTTGTAAGCATAACTGTTAGCCTCCGCACTTTTCTGTGGATACCCAGGCCCGATTCAGGCGCGCGCTTTCCTGAACTCGAGTCCACGAGAATGGACGATTGTCCTAAGGGTTTAAACACACAGACACAAGAGACCTGCTCATTCACCAAAGAGCAAATGGCCACTTTATTAAACTCAAGTCGGGTATTTATACTAGTGGGCAAGAGGGCAAAAGGGCATGGCCCCCTCCCATCAGGAGCAATGGAATAGGATGACAGGTGCCCGGTGCCTCAGGCAGGAGCAGCTGCAGGAGGCAGGCATGGCAGGCGTATAGGGCCTGCGGCTGGAACCTTGTTTACAGGTGGAATTACCATAACAAAAGAGAGCCAAGTTCTTTCTAAGCTATACCCTCAAGCCAGTGCTAGTGCAGAATCTCCAGGGAGCCAGAGGTCAAACGGCCCTGCGAATCGCCACGAAGAAAAGGGGGAAAGACCTGTGTACCTACACATAACTAGATGTTATTATAATAGATTAAGTAAAATGCAGCAGGCAGCAGGCCTTGACACCATGCTACAGGTCCCTGAGCGGGGGCAGGCAGCGGGCATCAGGTCCCGAGAGCAGCCAGTCCCAGGCAGGGACGGCGTAGTTCCCCAAGTAGCTGCAATGGGCCACGAGGGGCAGCAAGTCCCACAAGGAGAGACAGATAGATGGGCACGCCAGGAGACCACACCATAGATCTCTGAAGGCAGCTGTCCTGGGGCAGGGAGCCACACAGCGGGGTGAGACAGACGGATAAGCACACCATGCAGAGTGAGATTAGATATTTATTTAGTGGGTTGTGGAGGTGAGGAGAGAAGGGAGAAGAGCAGAGAGGAGGGGGGGGAACCGAAGGGGGAAGGGGAGAAGTTGGGAGAGACAGATGTTGCCTCTTCCAGAGAGAGAGAGAGAGAGAGAGGGAAAAGGAAAGGACTCAGGCCGGAAGCTGATCATCAGCTTGCCTTGGTGGACAAGGAGAAAGTGGGTGTGGCTTGTCTCTTAAAGGAACAGAGCAGATCATTACAGTTAACAAATTAATTTTAATGTCCAAATGCTTTTAGATAAAATGGACAGAAGACCCAGGGAGTGTGTTTCTTCTGAAATAATAGTAATTGATTTTAAAAAGTAATAAAGAAGTATGGGCTCTCAAAGAATCCTGAAAAGTTAGGGGGAATAATATATAATCTGTAAATTGAACTCAGGAATCTGGAGTAGGATTATTGAAAACAAATAAGAAAGGATGTACCAGTTTCAAAACTTACCCATTGGGCTGGGAGTGCAGCTAGTGATAGAGCACCCACTTGGGGAAAACCTGTTTTGATCCTCCCATGAAAGCCACTCTTGGCTGGGGTTGAAGATTATTAATAACGGGCAGAGGTGGAAGCATAATCCCCACCGTGTCCTAGTTTGCATTCTGTCGCTGTGATAAACACCATGACCAAAATCAACTTGGGAAGGAAGGGGCTTATTTGTCTTAGACATCCTGGTCACAGTTGATCATGAGGGGAAGTCAAGGCAGGAACCTTGACCACCTATGGGCTCAGCCACCTGCTTTCTTAAATAGCTCAGGACTGTCTGCCCAGAGGCAGCACTGAACACAGTAGTCTGGGCCCTCCCTCGTTCTTCTTTAATCAAGGAATTGTCCCAGAGGCTCACCTACAGGCCAGTCTGTTGGAGGCAATTCCACAATGAAGATGCTTTCTTCTCCCTTCCAGATGTGTTTAGCTTGTGTCAAGGTAACAAAAATTAACCAGCCCCTTAGAAAAAGAATCTTAAAACAGTTAAGCCCTTTGTGTCTATGTGCCCTAGGTGTTACTGCGGATTCTTTAGAAAGAATGCAAGGAAAAGATCCCTCTTAAGGCCAAGAGTTTGTGAAGATTTTCGTTTGTTTTCCTATCAAGGGCTACTAGCTTTCTCCCCTAAACCAAGGAAGAGAATATCCTAGAAACCCAAAGAGTGGTGAGTGCTCCACCCTGCCCCACCTTAACCCTAGCCCTCCTCACTTTTCTGAATCTAGGCTCAGTTTCCCTATCTTTCTCCATTTTAACAGTTTCATTGAAAAATCCTGTTTTGCCTTTTCTGTATCTCTCAAAAAAAAAAGGACCTCTTAGTGCATGTATGTTAAGCTACTTGATACTGTCTGTCCCCACAACTTACTTTGCTGTTTTCTTTAAATTTGATATATTCCATATGTATGTATGTATGTATGTATGTATGTATGCATGCATGCATGCATGCAGATAGATACACGTGTATGTGCGAGAGAGTGTGTATGTTTGTGGAGAGAGAGAGGGAGGGAGAGAGAGGCAGAGACAGAAGGCAATTGGGCCTAAGACTTCCTGTGTGCCAGGCAAACCCTCTGCTAGCATTTTCCCCATTTCTACAGAGTTTCCACTCTTTCCATTGGTCATGCTAACCTCAGCCACAGCTCTATTCAACTGAAAACTGTTTTCTGGACTCAGGATTTGTCTACATGTTTGTAATCTTAGCATCGGGGAGGTAGAAGCAGATGGTCAGGAATGAAAGTCAGTATCCCCTCCAGTGAGTTCAGGGCTAGCCTGGGTTATGTAATACCCAGTTTCAAAAAAGGGTATGGAACTGGAAAGGATAGCCCAGTAGTTAAGGACACTGGCTGCTCTTCTAGAGGACCCAGGTTCAATTCTCACCGTCTTCAAGGTGATTCATAACCATCTGAACTCTAGTTCAAGGGGATTTGATGGCCTCTTCTGGCCTCCACAGGTACTACATGCATATGGTGCACACATAAATTCAGGCAGAACACCTAAATAATACATAAAATAAAAATAAATCTCTATAATAAAAATTAAAATTATATTTTTATTGCTGAACATTTGATTTTTTTAAAATAAATCTTCCATTATAAAACACACCCTGTCTAAACTAGACACTGGTGATGTATGCCTTTAATCCCAGTACTCAGGAAGCAGAGGCAGACAGATATACAAGTTCGAGGCCACCCTGGTCTACAGAGTAAGTTCCAAGACATCCAGGGCTACACAGGAAACCCTGCCTCAAAAACTAAAAGTGAAGAGCTAGTTGTGATGGCACACACCTTTAATCCCAGCACTAGGGAGAAAGAGGCAAGCAGATCTCTGTGAGTTCGAGGCCAGCCTCGCCTACAAAGGAGTTCCAGGACAAGCAGGACTGTTACACAGAGAAACCCTGTCTTAAAAAAACAAACAGCAACAACAAAACCTCCTGTGCATGCTTTTTTGCTTTACCATTATCTTGGGAATATATAAAATAGTTTCAATAACTGTGTTAAAGTACTCATGTACTAAATTCTGTAATTCATGACATTTCTAAGTTTGTTCCTATTAGCTTCTCTGGTCTCTTGGTTACAGGTTATATAGTTTTTCCTGCTTGTTTTCATGCCTAGAAAGCTCGTTTTCAATTTGTAGATTAGTTAGAATGCAAGATAATGGGCTTATATAAAATTTGCATAAATACATAGATAAAATTGCAAAGTCCCATTTTGCACTTTTCCTCACATTTGCCCCAACATGACACCCCACTTGTTCTTTTCCTCCCTCCCCAGTACTCTCCCTTCTACTTTCATGACATATGGATTTCTTTATTGTTTTTTTTTTATTTTTTGCATGTATGTGTGGTTTATGTGTGCTTGTGTTTACATGTGTATGGGAACATGTTCACATATGTGTGTATGTGTGGGTGTCCAGAAGTTGATGGTTGGTGCCCTCCTTGATAACACTCTACTTTATTTATTGAGGCAGGATCTCTCCCAGGTCCTAGAACTGTCTAATTCTAGCCAGTCTAACTAGCCAGCCTGCCTCCAGGAGGCACTATCTCCCGGCTGCTGGAATGACCCACCGCTGTTGTGCCTGCCCGGCTTCTCTGTGGTTGTAAATTCTAATCCTCGTGCTTGATGGCAAGTGCTTTATACACTGAACCATCTCCCTAGTCATATGTATAATCTTCTAAAGTCCACATTAGACATGTGAAAGAAAGTGTTGTGTTCGTCTTTCTAAGCCTGACTTATTTTGCTTCTAATGTTCTATAGTTCCCTCCATTTTCCTGCATGTGACATGACCTCATTCTATGTGTCTGAAGAAAACTCAGTTGTGGATATATACCACTTTCCATGGTTGGGCATCCAAGCTGGGTCTGCATCTCTGCTGTTAGGAGTAGTGGAGAGATGTACAAGTATCTCCCTGGAGTGACTTACATCCCTCTGGGGACACACACGAGTGATACAGCTAGATCCTGTGGTGTTTCTGTTTTTAGATTTTTGAGGACCCTCCCTACTGATTTCCCTAATGGCTGCACCAGTTTCCATTCCAACCACCAGTGAACAAGAATTCCTCCTTTCCTCTCCTCTTCAACCTCTCCTTGGCAATAGACTAGGGCAAGATAGATCACAATGCAGCTTTAATTTGAATTTTCCTGGTAGCTAAGGATGTTTGGTAATATTTATATAACACATTAATGAATTAAAAGTTTTTATTATTAAGAATGATAGATATGACAGAGAAATTGAGTAGTTACATTATTTTTGGAAAGGAATAGATATAAAATCAAGAAAATCTCCTTCTTAAAATCTTTCAGGGATTGGACTCAGCAGTTAAGGGCACTTGTTCCTCTTTTAGAGGACCTGGCTTTGGTTTCTAGCACCAACATGGTGGCTCACAAACATCTGTAGCTCCAGTTCCGGGGCATGTGATGCCCTCTTCTGGCCTCCATGCGCACTAGGTATGTACATGATATACATATATACATGCAGGCAAAACATCACATACACACCAAAGAAAACAAATTGATTAATTTAAAATTATACTTTCAAGAAAGTTGACAAGATGGCAGAGTAGGTACAGGCACTTGTCACCTCGCCTGGCAATGTGAGTTCAATCTCAGGACCCACATAGTGGAGAGTGAGAATTGACTCTCAAAAGTTTTCTAAGTTTTTCTTTGGCTTACACACACACACACACACACACACACACACACACACACACACACACAAATAAATAAATAAATATAATTTTTAGAAGACCTTAAAAGCAATCAATAGGCCCTACGTAGCTTCTCTAAAGGAAAATGTAAACAGGTGGTAAATGGTGACTGAAGAGATGACTCTTGATGCATGAGTGACTACGGCTCCTGCAGAGGACCCACATTCTCAGCATCCACATAGCTTACAATCTGTAACTAGCTTTAGGGGCTCCAGCACCCTCTTCTGGTACAGAAACCTTCGGGGGGAGGGCAGGGGTCTTGGGGATCCCAGATGAGCCCCCAAATGTTGTGCCTGAGTCCCAGGACCCACAAGAAGACCACCATGGAGTCACACTTCCTAATGCAAAAGCAAGGTTTTATTTATTAAGTATGGGCTAGCACTCCCTGGGCACTGTACCCATATGCATAAACCCACACATAGACACATTAATTAAAAATAAAATTAAAATCTTTTCCTAAAAAAGAAAATGTAAGTCCTGGAAGGTAGAAGGTGACTTTGTGTTTTCAGCCCCAGTAGAACATTCCAACTTAAAGAAACATTGCCGTGAAGTTGTCGACGTTCCTATTGCACTCACTTATTACCTGCTTTTCTTTTCAGTAACCAAATTGAAGGAACAGTTCCACTACTTAAAGGGGCCCTCACACTCCCTTGATGGTTGACCAGCCATCTCAATGGGATCTTTGCTGAGTAAAGTTGCCACTCACACAATTGTTATGCTTGTGGATCTGGGAGTGATCGATCACTTAGCGCAAGGAGCTGAGAAGAGTGGATTGGACCCAGTGACTCGGTTATTTCAGAACACCAACAAAATCAAGTTAGAAGACACAAGCCAAGAAAACTGCGTGAAAGGGGAAGGGACTGACACTGGCTGGAATTCCATGGGCTACGTGAAGGAAAACGATGGCCTGGTAGTGACCGATTTAGAATGAAGTCACCTGGACATTTTACCAAAGACATTTGCTTCTGATCAGAGGATGTGTTCAATGTAGCTGAAGTCCATTAGGAAGCCTAACAAAATGAAGGAGGAGAGAAAGGCCCTACCAAATCCAAGGTAGATTTCTGCAGAGTATACTATCCCTGACAAACACCACAGTTATTTTTACTATCAGTGTTTGGTACTAACGCACTTGCCTATAATTAAAATAAACATTTTTAGCAAGTAGTATATCAGGGAGATCTAAGCAAAGCATGACTATTTCACACCTTTCCATATGCGCACTTTCAGTTCAGGAATTTGCTCTGGAGTCCTTTACCCTTCTATGTGTTCAGGAAGTCTTTCTGTTCTGTGATAGAGCCCTGTGATTGACTCCTTAGGAAAGAACAGTGAACCACCTCCCTTCAGAAGCAGTTCGCACTCTTACATCTTTTTCTGCCATGCTACCTTCATTTCAGAGTGAGGGCAGAGTTCTTTCCAAGTTGAATGTTTGTCTTGTAGTAACTACCACTTCATAACAATATTTCATAGAATAAAAGCAAAAACTTCTTTTGTATCTGTTGTTAATATATTTGTAGTCAGAAACAATAGTACTGTCCCAAACAATGGCAGATGGAATGAAAATCCTTTTGTATCTAGATTCATGGTGAATTGTAATTGTTTACATAATACATGGGTTTTTGTTGTTTGCTTGGTTGGTTTATTATTGTTTGGTTTTCGTTTGATGCTGGGGATTTAATCCAAGGTGTTGAACATGCTAGCATGCAACTCTGCTACTGAGTTCCACCCCATGTTCCTGTAGGTAAATATTTAATGGCTGTATTATTTTCTAATTACATTATCTTCTTAATATTACTTAAAAGATAGAGAAAAGGTATGTTGGTTTGGGAGGGGAACAATATTTTATGAGGCAGGCCAATTTTAAAGAAACGAATCTTGAACCTAGTGTTAAAAACATAGTTAAATGGAATATACTTTTTTTGTCCTTCACAAAACATAATTAATTCTCTTTTTTCTTCTCTCTTTATTTTTAATTTTATTATATATGTAGATGTTTTGCCTGCAAATATACCTTTGGCTTCTGTGGGTGCCTGATGCCCATTGCAGTCAGAAGAGGGCATCAGATCCTCTCAGACTGGAGTTACAGCTGTGAACTGCCATGTGGGTGCTGGGAATTGAACCCGGGCTCTCTGGAAGAGGTGCTCTTAACCACTAATCCACCTCTCCAGCACCCAGAATATAATTCTTCAGAGGAAAAAAATTGCAGAAATTATCTGTTGTTCACTGTGACAGATAATATTGATAGCTCACTTGGCAGGCTCTAGAATCACCAAGGAGACAAATCGTGGGTGTGTCTATAAGAAAGTTTCTAGGGAGGGTTAGTTGAAATGAGGTGGGAAGACCCATTCTGAATATGGGTGGCGTCATTCCGTGTGCTGGGACCCCAGAGTGAATAAAGACTGTACGGGGAGTGCTAGCATTTATACCTTTGGTGTCATTGCTTTCTGCTTCTTGGCTGCTAGGACAGTGTAACCAGGTGCCTCACACTGTCATGCCCTCAGACTATAAACCCCAATAAATGGTTCCTTCTGAATTATGTTGCTTTTGTCAGATACTTTGTCAAAGCAACGAGTAAAGCAATGAATTCACCTATGTAGGATCATTCTTGGTGCTGGGGCTATAGCAAGGTGGCCACTGCCTTCATAGTATAATGGTGTGTTGGAGCATGCTCCAATAAAGTCAGCTGGGGTACCTGGAAGAGGGTGCGAGGTTGGGAAATGAAAGGTTGAAATAAATTGAAACAGAAAACACAGGCTAGATCTGGGAGGTCTGTTCGTGGATATCAACCAGCCCCGAGTTTATTTCAGAACTTGCTTTTATACAGATTAAGGCAGAAGGCGGAACAAAGAGCAGTCCAGTCAGCTACCCACCTCCCTGCACTGTCCTTGGGAGGAAACACAAGCAGGTGCATTATGTCTCACATGAACCCTGCAAGCAGCAAGTGGTTTCTATTTCTATCTCGATGTTCCCAAGACTTGGCATCAGCAATATTCTTTCTATTAGACAGTGTGTTCTTCTCTCACGGGCAAAATGCTCTTTCCCATGGGTTTAATCAGAACTTCCTCACAGCCCTCAGAGCTGCAGGCACAGCAGGTGAGCTTGAACTCAAATGACTTTTAAGTCATAATTGACTCCAAATGGGAAACTGAGTCACATGTGGGCTCCCACAGAGGTGCCAGAGGGAAGACACAACATTATACAGCAATTAAATACAAAGTGTGTTGTGCCATGGAAAAAGCAAAGCATCAGAAATCCACAACAGCTGTAACATAAACCTGATTGCAGCAACTGGGAAGACCTCTCTGAAAGCGGCATAGCTTAGAGTTAAATGGTTGTCCAAAGAGATGACGGCAGTGGTAGTCCAGATGAAGTGCAGCAGGATATAGTGATGGGATGAAGTGAGATGTGACCAAGAAAAAAGGTGGGAGCAGACACAGTGAGGCTTCATGGAGGAATGGGGACTGTAGATTTGGGAGAGATCAACTTTTCAAAGTGTGGAACTATGAGATGGAGCTATCTTTTTTTTAATTTGGATGCTCTTGTGCCCTGCCCTGCATTACAGCATATTATGTAAAACTGTGTTATTGGTTTTTCCCAAGACTGATTTGTCCTCAGGGACTCCATTTTACAAGCAGCTTTGACTTGTTTTTGAAGACGAAGGGTGATTCTGCTCTTGAGTGAATATGAATATATATATGTATATTCATATATATATATATATATGTATATATATATATATATATATCACCATCTGCCTTGTATTCTCAAGAAGCACAGACTAATAAAGGACCTATTTGTGGACATAGAGAGGGAGCCATCCCATAAATTTATTATCAAGGTGAATTAGTACTATAAGAGCATATTATTGTCCATATTAAAATCCTATCAGGACTATAAGGTTGGCTCAGCAGATAAGACACATACAACCAAGCCTGACAACTTGTGTTTGATCCCCAGAACCCATTTGGTGAAAGAAGAAAGCATGTTGTCTTCTGACCTCCATAGCATATACACACGCAGAATAAAACACAATAAAATGCCAGGAAAACTGTGCCCTAGAACTTATTAGATACACGGGCCCTGGAAACACAGCAACTCTCTCACTTGGACCTCACAAAGAGGCAGAGACCTATCTATAACTGTGATGGTGAAGGCCTTACTAACCTGTCATCTGACCTTCCAGTGGGAGTCTGCTCCCAGCTCTCCCAGGGGTTCCAGCTCTGCTTCGTCCCAGATGTCGACAAAGGCTGCTCAAATTGCCATCTGCCAGCCTGTCTGCTTGTCTGGACATGTTGTCTGTCTGCAAACCCATTTGCTCTACGGACCTGTTCCTGCCGTTTCAACACTGCTGCTGGACCCCACTCCACAGCTCAACTCTGACCCTGACTCTGGAACAGCAGCCACACCCCTTTCCAAAACTTTCAGTTGGTTTGATGTCTGACAGCCATAGACTCTTTTGCATTTCTATCAGTTTCCGATTTGGCCCCTCAGGCCTCCATTAAAATTACTTAAAACTCCATATTTCTTTAACCCTTTGTAGTCATTCTGTAACCTACATATATTCACACAGATTGATTGATTGATTTGTTGTGTAATGTATGTAATCTCAGAGTTAATATAGAAAATATTTAAATGAAAG